GACCACCGACCCGGAGATGGTCCAGCTGCAGGAACTGGACGTGAAAGGTGGGTTTTGGTGAGGGAATAACAAAGGGGCGTAGGTAGTCGGTAACTTCACCGTTCAGGCCAGCACCTCACATTTTATGTAGAATCGTTGTTCCTGCGTCCTCTGAAAAGAACACGGCTTGTCTGAGTAGACTCTTTAACATGAGCGTTTATTTGGACCGCGTTGTTATTCGCTGCGCCATTTTTCTTTCCGGATCCGTTGTTCAAAGTGGGACAAAAATTCTTCGGTTCGAGAAAATAGTTATGTAGCGTATAACCATATAACCATATAGAGTTAGCGGATCGACAGCCATGGATCATGTCGTAAGTGATGTGATCAAAAGTTCAGTTCGAGAGAAAGGCAGTCTTTATTGAGTTGTTCTGTCTGGCCAGTGTTTATGTTGTAATCGTTTCTGTTGGCCATAACCTTCCGCACTTTATTATTGTTGATCATATTCTGATGGCCATTAGTCAGACAGCTTGCAAGTCCCAAAGAATGCATCTTAAATTGAATTCGTTTTGCAGTTCCACCGGCAGTTTATCTCGTACCTGACAAAACCCTGTACACCGTTATGCCTGGCGGCCGAGTGCAGCTGACGTGCTTCGCCACCGGAAACCCGCCGCCGAAGATCAAATGGACAAAGAAGGTAAGAAAACTTCGGATTGCCTTAGTGAAAATGCCGAGGTGATGACTTTGTAGTTTCTAGACATTTTTACTGTCGTTCATTCAGTTATGCAACAGACTTAGTTATGACTTCAGACGACGTTTACTTTCCGCACGTTGTAGAGTACAATATTTTCATAATTGTAACGTTAGTTTTGCCATTGATCCCTTCTTACTCACTATATAGAGAAATCTGTCACAGTTTAGTCATTATCGCAACAGTACATTTTGCTTTCGTAGATCTGATATTTCCGTTCTAGCGTTATTATTTGGGCGAAACAACGCAGTTGGGATCAGGCAGAGGAGGGCCAAATTAGTCTGCGTTACGGAGTGCATAGACAGGACAGCTGTATCTCTCTACCTATAAATCTATCCGCAGGCGGCTCGCTATCCTTAGATGCACGGTATTTTCGAATCTTGCTGTTCATTTAACAGAAGTTGCACATTCCGTGATTTCGTACTGGAACACTTACAAGAACAGCATCTCGACTGTTTACTGTCTCTTTTTCTCAAATGTCTCATTCTACACCCGGAAAAGACGAAGGAACTAAACTCTGTTATGCGAGGCACAAAAATGAGGGAACTTCTCCAGCTCTCCACTTGTGTGCTGGTCATTAGCAGTCAGTTCATGTCTGAGGTACAACACTGATTCTTTCTTCCTATCTTATTTGGCATGAGTACGTCCATGCATTAGCAAAGCACTGCCGCAAGTCCTGCTTTTACTCTGAAGCAGTGAGGGGACTTCAGGCGCTGCGAGATGCAGTTAGAAACCGTGTTCCTGTACACGTACGCGTTTCGCGTTGTCGTATTCCCGGGCTATAGGTATGCCACTTTAAGATCATTAAGATGTGACTAAAGTTAGCTTCCAAACTAAATGGCCTCCGTTACAGATATATCGTTATATATGTAGCCAGATCTCTTGTTGCGCAAGGTGTAGAAATGATCATGAAGAGTCTGGATAACCCAGCCCACCACCTACTGCACGACAGCCTTACCTTATGCCAGTTACAAAGTACGTCCACCAGCGTATCCTCTCGAACCGAAGATCTATTGCACCAGCTTCAGCGTGAACTCTTGAAGACTGGGTAGCTGTCGATAAGTACTGTTTGGATATGCTCAATGTAACAAAGTGATGTACAGTTTCATTTTTTGATTCAATTATCTATGACTATGATCTCTGAGATTTCTCCAGTAGTTATTCTAGTCACTGCATATATTGTCTTATTTGTGTATCAACTTGTCTGTTTGGTGCTATTTATTTATTTATCTCGCCTTGATTATGCTGAAAAATGAGATTCACTGTGACTTCTTTCAAGCAGTAACACTTTCGACCTTTTAAAAAACTAATTAATGTTTGTAAATCTTAATCAAAACAGGTCTAAGATTTGCTGAGGTGTCTTTTGAGAATGCCTATTACGTTAATTAATTAATCAGTTATAATTTATGTAACACTTCAGTAAAATTTCTTTGCCAATTCTATTTCAGCGTTATGAATGTTTTCGAATATCCAATCCGGAGTTTCTATGTCAGTCGTAATGTTTCAGGACGGTGTGCTACCGGACAGCACCGAACATATTACAGACGAGGTGATAGCTTTCTCGGAGGTGTCAGAGAAGGAGACCGGCGTCTACCGGTGCACAGGCGAGAATGGCGTGAAGGGACCGGCGTTCGCTGACGTAACCATCGTGTTGCAGAGTAAGGCGACCATCACTTCCGGGACTGTTATTTTCTGGGCAACATTCGTGCATGATGTGACAGTTGCTGCCGCATGACCATTTGTTTATTTCGGCACTCGTGTAACTGAGAATCTTTTGCATGTACTGCTTTGTTTGACGATATGCGCCTCAGACAGCGCTAGGAAAGTAATTTGCAAGCAAATCAGAACACTTTCATCTTTATTTATGAAGGCACCACCAAAGTTTTCATATAAATAATAATGATAGCCTTATATTTTTAATGATCATAAATTAATAACCTCAAACTAGTAATAATAAGTTATCACTATCTGAAGGCGATTCTGATTCCATGGCTAGAAGCATGAGAAAAAGAAGAAAACAGTTGTATGCACAAGAATTCCTACGTTTCGACTGAATTGGCATCAGTCATCATACGGGAATGAGAAAGAAATTAAGCTATACTTCAGAGCCGGGTGTATGACTCGGAGAGTTGTCAGTTAAGATGTTAATCATGTTTCACGCCACGGGAATGGCAATGGAGCCAACGCAGCCGTTGCGAGTCCTATTTTTGCTGGCCGTGATATGAAGCAGCTACTCGATTAACAAGTTCACCTTGTCCCGGGTTCGATCGACCACCGTTACATCGTTGTTGTTAAATTAATGACTATTTTCCAGGCGATGAGCAACAAAACCTGAACGATCAGCATTACGGTTTCTGATGGCTCTTCTCTGCACCATTTTTCTGATTTTTAACTCTCGACAGGTTTTGCCAATATATATCCTGTCATAGCTATTGAAAATTATTTGATAGGTCATGTTTTTACTTTCCAAGCTGAGGTGACAATAAGGCTTCTTGTACAGTAGGTTTCCTAAGGGTTTGTCTTCGCAGAAAAATACATTAAGACCATGTTTTTTTAAATATCATCTGATTACGAATCTTTCTTCAGAGATGCTACGGATCATGAAAGGTGTCAGTAGGAGCACCATCATTTTTTGACCTTAAGCCATAGATGAACAATCAAGTTGTCTCGTAAACAATAGATGAGGAAGCCAGCTATTTTGCTTTCTCTACGCCAGCCTTCTCGAAGCAGCAGCAGTGTTGTCATCAGTCTCGAGCGGTTAATGCCCGTAGCCTTAGATACAGAGTGGTAACTCTATGTGGCTTAGCGGGCAACGTCTCTTTGCTCTTGGTTGCCTGAAAGACCTGTTAGTTAAAGCACGGTATTATGACAACTGATGTGCATGGGTGTAAAATAGCATCGCTGTGCAAGGCCGAGAAAAAGCTTAGTCAAACCTCTGCCGAAATGCTTCTATCCATAATTCTGATTGTTTACAGGCTT